TTTTTTTTTGTGGAACCGGGGATTGAATTCAGGCCCTTGCGCTTGCCAGACAAGCACTTATTCTACTGAGCTATCTCCCCAGCCCCTCTCCTTGATAAATTATTGTGCCAAGCTGTGATGGTTGAATCAAGGTCATTCCTTACTATATGTATATATTCAACATTCTAAAAAATTATTTTTAAGCAAAAGACAGAGGGAACTTTATTAGGTTTTGTTTCTTAACAGTACAGAATGAGCTCCAGGCCTCATCAAAGCAGAGTAAGGCGGTTGGAACAGAATCCAGCATGGAACAAAGTTTCCATATTTATCCTGAAATCACTGTTATGTGTTTTCTGTTTCCAAGAAATTTCTGGAACTTGGACTAGAACTTGTGAGTTACGTGAAACCAACCACCTGATTGGCTCAACAGGACTAGAATGACTTTTTTGTTCAATTCATTAAATTTTCTGCTTATTTGTAGGGGGATTAGGGTGAAACATACGATTACACTAACATATATAACAATATGAATGTGTGTAGGACACTGGTGGAAGTGCTAGTGAAATACTACCAGTTTCTTTAGAAAATCGAGGCTTCTGTTTTGATGAATCAGAGAAATGATTCTTTTTTGGTAGATTTAACTCTACTATGTGGTACAAAATTACCTCCTTTAAGCAGAGCTTACAGGAGAAAATTTTTGATAAATCTAGAGTGATGAGGTTTTTTGGTGTTTTGCTTCTGCTTGAAAATTTTCTCTGGGATCGTCTGATTGCAAAATTACTAATCATTTTTTCCTTACACATCTCAACAGATTGACGATTTCCAATTTTGCAAAATGTTGGCCATAATAACAACTTGGTATATACTACTACGGCATTAACCTTTGTTTTCTTTTAGTCTTTGACGTCCATGTCCTTTGAGGAGGAAAAGGATGTTTGCCATCCTGTAATTGTCCGCCTCAACCGCTCATTTCCTTGGGATAAACATTGGTTTGAAAAGCACTTTGTATATCATATATGTGAGTCAAAGGATTTTCTTTTTGGAACCAGTGATTTAAGGATTTTCAAGTCCCCCCTCAAAAAAAACCTTTTTTTCCTACCAATTTAAACAGATCCTCTTCCTCTTTGCAATGTCCTTCCCACTTTTGTCACAATCGGGGAACTCTTACTCATCCTTTAAGATTGAGCTCCACTGGTCATTTCCTGATGGAGGATTTCTCATCATGTAGCTCCAACAGCTAGCTGTGAGCAGCTCAGCCTAATGAGATTATCCAGTTTCCTGCGCATCTTGCTCCCTGGGTAAATGAGTTTCTAGGGCCGAGACGGTGTCATTTTGTCTTATTCTTCTTTTTACAGTCTAGTATTTGGTGCACCATAGGCTTGGCGATGCGGGCGTCCAGGTCTCCCTCCGAGTTCCGCAGGCGGCAGGCGTTTGCGCGGGCGCTCAGTTTCCCGCCAATCGAGCGTTTAAAAATAAGCAGCTGCGGATGCTGGGGAAGGAGAGGGTGCCTCTCACGACGGCTGCCGGTCATCAACTCCAATCGGTCCACGCAGGCTCACCGGCACGGAGGCACGATTTTGACGTTTGTTCTGTGGAGGGAAACAGTTTCGGCCAACAAACTTGAGTCCCAGAGATATAATGGGCAGTGTCTCCTAACTCTGGGCTGGAGACACTGCCCATTATATTCTAAAAGGGACAAGAAGTCAAGGGGAAAATAAAGGACTGGCAGATTAGGGGAAACTGCTAGCCGCGGATGGCTAGCAGACTTATGCGAGGAGGGGGGGTCTCAGGGAATGTTTTTTCTTCAACCATGCCAGCCCTCCCGCAGGTTATAGCTTCCACCATGGCACTCGCACTCGACGCCCCGCCCGCATGGGCGGAGAGTCCTATTCTCGCGAGAACTCGGCGAGCCTTGCCTCTACGGCTTGTGAGCTCTCGCGAGAAGGGGCTGAGGCGCCGGCGTGCGACCTGCCCGGGCGGCTCTAGTAGGCGTCGCCGCTGCTGGAGCGGCCGCCTCCACAGCTGCCTGTGGTGGGATCCGGTTGAAGAGGAAGCGGAGGCGACACTCTCCTCGGCCCCCTTGCCTCGGTCTTCTGTGGACCTTCAAGGGGAAGCACAGGTAAGGAAGGTGAATGGACGGGACTCGAGCTCCGTGGGGCGGCGCGGGAGGCTGGGCTTGGCGTGGCGGGGGCGACGCGGAGAAGGGCGGCGGGCGAGTCGGGCGCGCGAGCCGGGCGGCGCTGGCAGCTTCTGGGCGGCCGGACGTGGCCAGGGGACCGCGGTGGAGTTCTGGGTTCCGGTCACCGGCACCGAGGTCGGAAAGGCGGAGGTGGGCTTGGGCTGCTGCTCTTGGGCTGGGCGTGCGGTGGCCTCTCCAGGGATGAAGGCGATCCCGCACCCCGCCTTTCCAGGGCCGGCACCCCGCGCCCCGCCCCTTGCCTGTCACCTGGGGCGGACGCCGCGCCGGCCCGGCGAGGGCGCATCACAATAGCATGGTGGGTAGGGGAGCGCTTAGGGGACCGAGTACTGGGTAGAGGAGTGAAATGCCAGTAATGAGCTGCGTGCTTTTATGCTAGAACTGAATCACCTGTGGTACACGCTTTGTCTTCTGCAAACTTGCGCAGAAAAGGTTCTGATTTCTTCTTCAGCTGCAAGTCCCCTTGACATTCCCTCATCTTTGGGAGTGGGGTTGGGAGACATGAAAACTTGCTTGATAATTTGTCAGCTGGGGCCAGTGTGACCCGCTCCAGGCCTAACAGATTGCCTAGTTCTCTTTTCTCCTTAGTATTTTAAGACCATGGTACAAAGTCGTCACTTTGGATATGCTGAAGTGAGAGTTTTCATGTGTCACTTTGTGCCCTTAGCAAATGAAATTATTTTAAAGGTTTGCTTAAGAGTTGTCATGCTTTTTAAACTAACAATCTGAATGCTACAGCACAGTGTATTGATTTGAGCAACTGGGTTCCTTCTACCCTGCCCCACTTCCCGTTTTCCCACTCTTACTGCACAAATGTGATCAAAACTTTCAGGTACAAATTTTGAGTAAAAGAAACTGTAGAAATTGGGATAAAATATACAGCAAGGTATGCAATCGTGAGGGCCAAAAGTTTTTGGAGACCCCCATCTAAGACTGAAGTCCGGGCCTTAATGCCCAAAACTACAGTAAATGAATGTAAATGAAGAAACTAGCAGAAAATACTATGAAGTCTTTGATGGTAGTTTAAAACTGGTAACTTGTGCGAGGAGAGTTGTTTTTGAAGGTGTTGATGTGTTTCATAGATTTTCCTGACATTTCTCGGGATTTGTGGCCTGCTCTTCCGCGTAAGGAAGATTCTGTGTTCAAACAAGAAAGCTTTTGGTGTTGCAGCAGTGTCTTTACATTCTTAACACTTTTTTTCCCCCGAAAAAAGAGCGTTTGGATGGGCTCTTTACCTTCTCTGTGTCTGAATTTATTGTATCATCCTTCTGTTAAGTGTCGTGAAAAATTTTAATTATTAACTATGAAATTGTGGTCTGCTTTGTGGCGTTTTATGTTTAGGTGACTTACTGAAGTGTGGAAGTGATCAGGAAAATGTGCACCTTTCCAAGAAGTAGGTTATGAGTAACAAAATCAGATGCCTTCAGATAGTAGGCAAATAATGAAAATGTGAAACACATCTGTTTATGCCTTGTGTAAGAAGGACTTCAGTATTAGGCCCACCTGGTTAGTTCTGTATATAGTTGTGGCTCCTGGTCTTCAGCCTTCACAAGAGAATGTAGGAAATCTCTTTTTATGTGCAGTGTCTTGATTTTAATTTTTTTTTTTTTAATATTTAGGACAAGGTGTATAGGGTCTCACTGTGTAGATCTGACTCGTAGTCATCCTCCCATTTACAGCCTCCCAAGTGCTGGGGCTCTACCAAGCGCAGTCTCAGTCATGGGCTCAGCGTACCCTTGGGGCGGGACCAGTACAGTAGGCGGGATCAAACTCTCGGGATCCTGCATCTACCTAAGCAGGTGCTTTAATTCGCTGAGTTATTTGGCCGGCCCTGATTTTAAAAAATATTAAGCCTGAGGCACAAAGATCTTTGTGGGTTTGAGAGCAGCGTGGGCTACAAAGTAAGCTCAGGGCCGGCCTGAGCTTCATAATGAGACCCTGTCTCAAAAGGAAAAAAAAAAGACCAAAGAATAAAAAATAAAATATATTATTGATGGCTAATTAAATCAATTGAAAATAACTTCATGTGACCCAATCAAACTCATACCCCTACATTGCATTTTGCCCTCTAGTATAGTTTGGAATTAATACATTTTATAGCTGAGAAAAAGGAAGTTTAAAACAAGTGTGTCAATTAATTTATAGTTTCAAACCTTAGGAGAACTTAAAGGAAATGAAAAATCTAATTGAAATAATGAAGAGCTTTAATAGCTTTTAAACACATTGGACAAATTAAGCTAGTTATTTCCTGCAGAATGTTCTCCTTATTTACTGTTTTGCTTTCTTTAGTTTGTTACTCATAGTCAGCTATGTCTTGAATTTTTTTTTTTTTTTTTTTTTTTTTTTTTTTTTTTTTTTTTTGCCTTTTTGACACAAGATCTCATTATATAGCTTGGGCTGGCCTTGAAATCCTTATGCAGCTCGGGCTGGCCTCAAACTTGTAGGGATTTTCCTGCCTCAGCCTCCTGAGTGCTTGGATTACAGGTGTGCACCACAACACTTAAGAGTTTGGAAAACTTTTAAATGATAAATGCCAGAAATAATTAAAAAGTTTTAAATTATGTGATATATAAGTTTTAAATTGCATGAGTACCATGAGGAATCATGCATTGTTTCATTCTTTCTGGGATGTGAGCCCTCCCTTTGTTCATTGTAACCACACTGTGTATGCTACCCTTCTATTGTCACTTAGTAGTCTTTTGACTGTCAGACTATCACGGTATCATAGTGTTCATGAACCTCTATATTACTTTAAAATGGCTCCAAAGTGCAAGAGTAGTGATGCTGACAATTCAGATACACCAACAAGAAGCCATAAAGTTCTTCTGTTAATTTGGAAAAAAAAAAAAAAAGTTCTTGACTTAATAAGAAAAAAATTTAATGTTGAGATTGCTAAGATCTTCAATCCATGGCATTTTGAGAGGTACTGTAGTCACATAACTTTTATTACAATGTATTGTCCTACCCTATTTTGTGTGAGTTATTGTTAATCTCTTACTATACCTGACTTACAAATTTAACATACGCTTGAATGTATAGGAAAAATGTACTATATCTAATGCTTATTTAGCACTGTACAGTTTTAGGCATCCACTGGGAACTTGGAATATACCTCTTGAGTAAGAGGAAGGACTACTGTATTAACATTGTAAGTGTGACAGTAATGGAAGGAAACCCACTTTATGTTTCTCTAACTCGGGGTTCTAAGTTGATTTATAGGTATCTTGTAAGGAAATCAGTTTATTTAGAAGTTCTTTATTGTGCTTTCAACTAATGTGAAAAATGAAACCCAAAAGGCACTTGATTAACAGTTCACCTCAGGATTTGGATATTTTTATCTGCTGTGCCATCCTACATTGTTTCCCTAGGCATTGACTTTTACTAGAAGAAATATTGATCCCCCGGCAGATGGGGAGGGAGGTGGCAATGGGATGAGGGAAGTGTGATGTGAAGTAGGCAGTCCTGTGTCTTTTTCTTACATTGACCAGTGAAAGATTGATTTAGATTATTATAGCTAGGTTTTCTAGTAGGAAGAATAGGTGCTTTGATTGTGCCTTATACAAACTTGAACTTAATGATGTGGGTGGAATTGAACCTTGTGGTTTAAAATTCATATACCCATTAATGGATAGTACTTTAATCGTACAGTCTAATTTATACCTATTTGGGCTATGAGAAATTGGAGTTTTAAAAATGAAACCTAATAGGTGAAACTTAGGCATGTAGAGGACAAAGTGGGGTCATCACTGGTGATAAAGGTGAGAGATGAAGCTAGGTGAGGGATAGGCTTGCAAAGGATGATGAAACAGTTTAGTATCTTGTATGTTTGTGTTTTACAAAGACTGCTTTTTACAACTAAAGTTATTTGAATTCATGCAAAACTACATAGAATACTGCTTTTCTTTTTTTCAATAGAACTGCTTTGGGAGTTTGCAGATTTGATTTTCTTACTTTAGCCAAATCTCCTCAAGTCAAGCTAGGCTAATCTCTTTATCCAGTCCCTTTCAGAGGCGAGACAGGAGGAAATATGTATTATGTTTGTGAGTTTTGAGAGCTTTAAAAATGTTTCTGAGAGATTTGTGTTTGTGAAGCTAGAACTTGTTGAATGGGAAACCATCTTGCTTTCCTGATGCTTTTACCATGACTTGTGAAATAGGAAATTCCGTATAGGAAGTACTTTCTCCCTGTTCATCCACTCTGTGAAATGCATTACCAAATGAAGATTTGACTGTACTTTTTTTGGTGTCTTCTGATACAAGTTTCATAATTCCTAGTTCTTAACACAGGGTACATATTTTGTACTCATCTCTATGGTAGGTTTATCTGAGCAGGTTGGATCTCTATTAGGGAGAAGGAAATGGAATACATACAGTACTAAGTGGTTGAATTTAATGTACAATGAAAGAAATGAACTTAGGCCATTATTTGCAGTTACATTTTATCTTTATATTACTACTCTGTTAGTTTTAAATTAAAGGTATGGGGAGAAGAGGTGATAACAGATGCTTGCTAATGGAAGAAGAGTTACAGGGTGAGCATCTCTAATCTGAAAATTTGAAATGCTCCAAAATCCAATTTTTTTTTTTTTTTTTTTTTTGAGGGGGGAGGGTTCCAGTAATCAAATTTATGACCTAGTGCTTGCCAGGCAGATGCTGTGCTGTGGAGCTATCTCCTTTTGAGCCTTAACATGAAGCCACAAATCTGATGTTTCAGTGTACATAAACTTTGTTTCATGGGTAAAATTATTTAAAATACCGTATAGACTTACCTTTATGCTGTGTATGTAAGGTGTTTATGAAACATTAATGAATTTTGTGTTTAGGCTTGGGTCCATTCCCCATATCTCATCCAAAATCTGAAATCTGAAAAACTTCTGGTCCCAAGCTTTTCCCATAGGAATATTCAGCCTTTATGAGAACATA